TAAATAAAAAGTGAAACCAAATCATATTTTGATTTGGTTGCTGATAATCGCTAAATGGTTGTAAATCCAGACTAATTAACTGGTACACTAATCGGTCGCTAATTGCAACCAAAAATTAAAGTGGTCACTAATCCAACTCTAAAATTAGAGAATTGGGGCTGAGTTTGGTCGCTAAATATATATATCTAATTGCGACCAAAAAAATTCGAGTCGCTAATTTCGGTCGCTAAATGTGTTTTTTCTTGTAGTGATTTTATATATAATTATAAAAAATTATGATTTTTTTTTAATTTTGTTTAAATGAATAAAATAATACCATATTATAAAAAATAGAATTCATATATAAAATTGAATTTGTAAAAATATCAAGATAAATAACTTTTATTGGAAGAGAAGATAATATTATAAAATAATATTTTTCTTAAATGTGTTATGCCTTCCTCCTTGAATTAGATTGAAAAGTAATACGTTATTTTTCACTAACGGTTTTTTTTTTTTCATTTATTCTTCTATATTATCATTTTCTACTTTCCACTTTGAAATTTTATTTAAGGTTTATTGAGTAGCAAAGAAAAATATAAAATGAAGAAAGAAAATTTAATAGGAAAATAGTATGAAAAAGAAAAAAAATATATTTTAAAAAATAATAAATAATTAAATTAAAATTAAATATTTATTTAATTATAAAATTACTCATATGATTATTAATTATTTCTATTAATAAAATAATTTTTAAAATTATATACCTCATTTTCAATAATATATTTTAATATATAATTATAATTTTTTTATTATATATTTTTTAAAATTATATGAAATTAAATCAATAAATAAATATCATATAAACAAATAAAAATATATAAAATTATTTATTTAATATAATTTTTATAATCACTTTTATATTTATAATATTTTATTAAAATAGTAATTAATATATATATATATATACTAAAATTATAAATATAAAAATAAATAATTACTTATTTAACTAAAGATAATTTTTTTATACGTTTATTTTTTTCACTTATATATTAAAAAAAGAAACATATCCTATACAATAAAAAATAATATTTACACTTCATTACTTTCTTTATTATTAAATAAAAAAATATTACTTTCGTTCATTTTTCTTTTAACTTTCCATTTTAATCTTCTCTCGTAAACCAACTGAACCTTACTAAAGCACAATACAATAGATTTAACAAATGCATCATAAAAATTAAAGTCAAAATTTGAATGCAAGTTTTGTTTGATGAATTAATTAATAATAGGTGAGCTTTAACGGTTTGGTTGTAAAGAAGCTAAGAAAGGAAAGAAGAATACCTGGTGATAACCATTATATATGCTCTTTAATACTCATTAAATTGAGTTTCAATCACATTTATATTTAATGGAAGTGTCATTATTACAGTCAACCCTACTTTAAAATATAATATTATAAATTCTAAATATATCTTTACTCATTATAAATATTAAATTTAATTTAATATTATTAATATAACTTAATTAAAATTGATTGTCTATTTATAATTTAATATTATTAATATGTTATTTTTTCTAATGTACTGAGTAATTGTAAAGACACTTATCTGATTTGTGTGCCAAGTTAATGAATTTTCTTCTTCTTTTTTTTGTTGAAAATATAACGTTTCCACTTTCAATTACTAGTGTTTTATAATTTTAATTAATTTAAACAGGTTTTGATTCATACCATTTTTGTTACTCCTCCAACCTAATCATGTTGAACAAATTTTATTCAGCATCATCTTATGTTGTTATTCGAAAAGTCCAACTACGTTGAGGCCAAGCCGAGATATTTTTATGACCACCATAAAAAAAAAAAGAGGAGATAGTTTACAAGTATTGTGATTAAGCAAGTACCTTTATGTGTTGTTGTAACAATTTGCAAATGAAGACTTGAGGAAGAGATTGTTTTACACACAGTGTATATTTCCTTGAAAATGTTTATAAACGATGTTGCAGTGAAGAAGAGTAACATTTTTTATTTAATAACGGAAGTAAATAAAGCAACAAAAGAAGAAGAGTCACTGTTTGGTACAATCTGTGGGCTTAAAGTTGACTTTTCTCTGGTGGACGTCGTAGCCAACCATGAGGTTTTGTTGTGCCAAGTTTCCAAAGATGGGAGTTTCACCTGGAAGAAAAGAAAAACATGATATCCCAGGAGCCATAGTAGAAAAGGTGCTGATAGCATACAACTTCACATCTGCATCTTTAAAATGAGCTGTGATTACTGGTACTGTTAGTTTACCAAACTGACTTGCATAGCATAGGGTGTAAGGTTTCTGTGGAATTTTCATAGGCTTATTTGGAATTGCAGCTGCCACTGCTGATACCACCCGTGAGTAAAATTCCTTCGGCAAAAAGGTTATTGTTGTCCCTGAGTCAATTATGATGTTTGCAAACTCTCTAGAAACATACTCTATTCTCTTATTTCCCACACTGATTGCTTCCAAGTGTAGGTAGTAAAAAGTTTCCTGGCCTTTTGGGATTATAGGGGTTGAGACAGTCCCTCCCCCAGAAACCACAGCAACATCTCCAAAATTGATTTTGCTAGAATAACTGGATCGAGAGAACATGGGTGGAAAACAATACGAAAACTTTTTATCTATTTTGTCTGGTAATTGATTTATGAGGGAGCTAGGTCCAGTTCCAAGGCCAACTACACCAGAGGCTTGTGCATGAAAGAACCCACTATTTTTGTTTCCGCATCCGAACACAATGCCTGGAAATCTGAAAGGAGGATCAGTGTAGCCTATAATGAGGGTCTCCATAATAAGCTCTCCACTTGATCGTGACCCATCCTCATACACAGTATTATATAGACATTTATCCCCTATTTCTGGTTTGCAGAAGGTAAATGGCTCTAGTTTACATTCCAGAGAATAACAAGAGAGGTGGTCATATGTGGCGGAAGTGGAAGGATCAAATACAGGTCTGGTTTCTTTGTAACAGCTCTCACATGGTTGACACTGCATCCAAATGAGGCTACTACCCGTATCAATTTCACCAAAGATTTCGAATGGTGGGGTTCCAACTTTGTAGCCCATCAGATATTCACCGTTAATTGTTACTACATTCGTCTCGGCTATATCTTGCAGGGACACGGAAGATTTTCTGAAATAGTTGGCACGGATCATGGAACGATTCACGGCATCCATGACTCGTTCGAACTGAGTTTGGTTGGGACGATAATAGGGTGATTTTGGTGAGTCACGGTGGATCAGTTCAACACTGAAACCAGTAAGAGCTTCTGAGAAAGAGATGTAGCAAACAAACAACAAGACAAGAACCAGAGATGAATATTGTCTCATCATTGTCATGATTATGATGGAACAAGAGTGAATAACACATCATTAGTGCATTCTTGATGACTTCTTATAAGAATCAGTGAATAAGAATCAGTGAATATTGTGGAATTATATGTAATAATTGTTCATTGTTTCTTTACCGGGAGTGATTGTGATAATTATTAAGTTGCAGCAAAGCCATTTCTAACGTATGGATTCTCTATTCTCACGAGAATTTTCAAAAAAAATAAAAAATATATATTTTAATATAAGTTTCACCTACTCCACTCGCATAAGGTGCTTCTGGTGTAGTAGCTCTATATATTAAAAATTCACATTAGAATGATATATTTTATTTTAAAAGTATTTTTAATAAGAATTGTTTAGAAAAATTCTTAGAAATAAAGTATATTATTTTAAACTTAAAACAAGTTAATTTTATTTAATTTTATAAGTAACTTCCATTAAAAATATTCTAAAAAATAATTCTTACAGAAATATTTAACTTTTATCTCTTTTAAAACACTTTATATTTATGATATATTAAAATAATATTTTTTTAAGAATTCTTTTAAATAATATATACGAGACTCGATAAAATAATATATTTTAAGAAGTCTTGTAAATAATTTTAAAAAATACGTTAAATTTTTTATTTATTTCTGTAAACTCTTTTAAATAATTTCCAGAGAGTGTTTTAATTAGACGCAGTAAACTTTAATAACGTGAACAACCAAACAATTTATTATATTCCTTTATTGGAAATCTTGTAAATTAATATATATATATATATATATATATATATATATATATATATATATATATTCAAGTTGATAATTATATATAATCAATTGTTGTTATAAATTGAAAGTAACATTTTTTTTAATGTGACATATTTCTTTCCACATTTAATTTCCTTAAAATTAATAAGATTGATACGATACTTAATATATATTATCTTTCAAATAACTTAAGTAATAAGAGCAGAACTATTTTTTTATAAATCTATATATTATATAAAAAATAATATTTTTGTCATTTCTTAATAACATTTTTATCCTTAAAAATATATAAAAGAAAATTAATTAAAAATTATCATCTTTCTTTTATACTTCTTCAATTGAAATTTTGTAGTCATTTTTCTTACTCACTGAATATAAATGAAATAAATAAATTAATTAAAAATTATTTTTGTTATTCTATTTCTTTCTTCAATTAGATATATTCATCTTTATATAAATAAAATAAAAATAATTAAAATATTTTCTCTTCTTTACTTTTTCTGTGACAAGTGTTTTTATCACAAATACATGAGAAATCTCATGGTAATATATCGTTCAAATTTAATGTATATTTTATTTAAATTTTCATCCTGCAGGCGTTCCATCATCAAACTATTTTATATATTGTTTTATGTCTAACTTAGAGACGTTGCATTTTGAATATGGGACACTTTTAAAAAATAACTTTACAAAAATTGTTAACTAAAATTATTTTATTTTTAATGATATATTCATAATTACTTTTAAAATAAAGGTTAACCATAAACTTTATTAATCTGAAATAGGTTATAACCACAACAGCAACAAAAATATTCTTATTAAAATTTTAATGAATTTAACTATTTTGAATATTTAAACTTATTATTTAATAAAAATATTATTTCAAATCTACTCATATTTAAGTTTTATTTAAATTTACCATTTATTAATATATTAATATTCCAAAACCACTTTTGAAACTATTCATTTTATATATATTTTTTAGTTTAGAAATTAATAATAAACTCATATTTTTAAAGTATTTTTCAAATTGTCATAAAAAATATAGAAATACCTACCGTTAATAATAATCTAAAATAACTATTACTAAAAATTATATACAGTTATTTAAATTTGAACATTAGACCGTTTAAAAAACTGTTATTTTGACAAAAATTCAATTTACTAATTAAGATTATTATCTATTTAATAGTATCTTTATAATTTTTATTAAAAACGTTGCTTAATAAAATTAGGTGTTTGAACAATTTTTAATTCATAATTTATTAAATTAAAACTACAAAATATTAAACATAACAAAATTTAAAATATTATTAATGTATTTTTACTTTAAATTTTAATTTAAATTAACTAATTCCTTTAAATTTAATATAATTTAATAGATTTTCTTTAAATTAATTAATTAAAACTGCTTAATAAAATTAGGTGTTTGAATTATTTTTAATTAATAATTTATTAATTTAATTTAAATTAATTAATTCCTTTAAAATTAAAAAAATAATTCAATAGTTTTTTTAAAATTAATTAATTAAAACAGCTTAATAAAATTAGGTGTTTGAATGATTTTTTAATTAATAGATAAATTAAAACTACAAAATATTAAACATTACATAATTTAAAATATTATTAATGTTTTTTTTACTTTAACTTTTAATTTAAATTAATTAACTCCTTTATATAATATCATTTTTAGTTAAAGTATAACCAGTTATTGTATAACCTTTTAATTGTTATCAGTTTTTAATTGAAAATTTTATACATAATAACTGATTATTTCCTATTTGTAATTAAAAATTAAATAATAAATTTATAGTTTAAAAATACTCATAACAACTAAAGGTTATATATTGTTATCAATTTTAATTGCTTATAATAAGTAGATATTATATATACAATTAAAAATGTTAATACATTGATACTCAGGTATTAACTTTAGTTATTTTTAATTAATCATAAAATTAGTAACTAAACATTATATATTGTTATCAATTTTAATTTATAATACAAACTTAATTTTTCTTTTTTTAACTTACCGGTGAGACTAATATTCTAAAACGGCTTTTATGATTTTCTATACTTTTATGTAAAAATTAACAAATGAAACTCATATTTTAAAATCATTCTTAAAACTGTTATTTGAAAAGAAAATTTATACATGAAAAATTACAATAAATACTTGAAGAAAATATACGTCAACAATATAAAATAATGATTAATAATAAAAAAATTAAAATTTTATTTATTGTTATCCATTTTTAAACATAAAAAAATAAAAATAAAAAACTATTATTTTTAATATTTCTAATCTATTAATTAAAATTATTCTTGTTTATCACCGCACATCTTTGACTTTGGTTTTTGTTTAGTATTTCATCAAATAATGTTATATATTGTGGCAAAACATTAGTTATTTTTTTAGAAGATATTTTATATTTTAAACTTTTAAATTTATATAATGTGTTATTTTTATTTTATATCAGACTATTTCATATAATAAATAAAATAAAAGAAAAATAACTTTTCTTTTTGTGGGGTCTATGCTATATTATTGAAAAAATCCCCTTACCGACCAATATAAGTAAATGAATCTGAATGTCACAATAACAAGGAGGGGCCTCATGGAGATGATCTAGGTTATGTTTCTTGGCATTTTCCCCCTCTTTCCCAGGAAACACAAGGCGTTAAATTGGACAGCACCAGAATCAGAATCATGGAGTGCACAAGCAACTTTCCAATGTCAAATCCCTATCCAATATTCATTCCATATGATCATAAACTTTTATATATAAAAAAGAAAAGATAAATTTATTCTTAAAATAATTGAAAGAAAGTTAGTATTTTTTTTATCTAATTGTCGTAAAGAATAATATATATGTTAAAATAAATCAATTAAAGAAATATATACATGTATAAGGTTTTTTCTAGGTTTGAGTTTTACTTATTTATGTTTCATTTAAATAATGATTTGTTTGGATGATTTTTTTAACAGAAATTTAATGTTAAAAAAATCTTTATAAATTAAAATTAGTTTATATATAAAAAATGTTTATACTAGTAAATATATTAACTTTCAATTATAAAATATCATTTTTTTTCTAAATTATTTTTAGAGAAATTTATCCTAGTTTTAATTATTAGTCATGTAAAATAATAAAACTATAGAGGACAATGATGGAGACATGAAAAACAGATTCATTAATATGTCTGGGGGGACTTCCTATATTTTCTTAAAAATTTCTTTCAAATAAAAAATAAAATATAAAAACAATAGATGGTAGACAATTTATATATATATATATATATATATATATATATATATACCACCAATATTAATATATTTTTTTTATCATTTATTTTCACATAATCTGATTATTAAGATATTTATTATTTTATATTATAAAAAATAAAATAATTTATATTTATGATACAGATTCTAATTCTTATTTTTAAAATAAATAATTTTTTATTATATATACATTTATATTTATATTTTTATTTTTATGATCATTTGCCTAGTTAGTCTAAGTAATATACTTTTCACTAAATTGTATATTTAATTCAAGATTTTGATTTTTTTATTTTGTCTATAATTAATTTAAATTTTAGAAAATTTGTAATTTTAGTCTAATTTTCAATTTATGTTCATGGTTTTCATTTTTAAAACAATTAAATTATCTTATTGATGAGTTCTTAAATGTAGGATTGAATTGTACTAAAAATAAAATACATATTAATAAAATTAAAATAAATTTTTAGAAATATAAAATCTAAAAATGTTTTAAAAAAAACAAACATAAGTCAAGCAAAATCATAAGAAAAAAAAATGATAATTTAACTTTCATTTTAAACATTAGATGTTTGAATCATATGTACTGTGCAAATTGTTTAAAACTTCCTCTATTTTATTTTCTTTTACATTTTTTTAAAGCTTCAATTATTGGAATTAGAATTAAGAATCAACATGTGTAATCCATAAATAAGGGGGGGAAAACAAAACAAGATATCATCAGTGGTCCCTTCTAAACGACACCGTTACCTCTGTCAGACGGATCCATCTGAAATCTGAGGTTCCTTGAATTGATACCTCTCTAGTTCGAAACTTTTACCATTTTCGCTTTCTGGGTAGGTTCCAAAATCTGTGTTAGAACACTCTTTCATGCTTCTTCCTTTTTTTTTTTTTTTTCCTTTCCTAATCTTCATTTGCTTCCTTTTTGACATCATGCAGCTGACTAGTTTTTTTAATATTTTATTTTTGCTCCCTTATGGAAAATTTTCAATTTGCTTAATTTTTCAGATTTGAAAATCACAAGCAATGGTGAAGGACACTGCATACTATGACATATTAGGTGTGACTTTTGATGCATCTACTGCAGATATCAAGAAGGCTTATTATGTCAAGGTAATAAATAAAATAATGAATTGAATATCTTTCACTCTTTCAGATTTGTGAGATTTGAGGATGTTCTTACCTGATTTGATGGAATGTTGAATGTAATTATGCTATGGAATCTATTAGGTTGTTATATAAATATGGCTTTAGTTTATTTGTTGTTTGAATTTGAACAGACCATCAAAGACGTATCATACTCTCTTCTAAATGGTCCATAAACTAATGAAATTATATCAGTAGTCTCTAAAGTATTGATTCATCAATATAGTCTCTTGGTATACATTTTACAAGAATTAAGGAACTAGTTTGAAGAAATTTTCAATACTCGAGGGACTATTTAGCATGATCTATACTTTAGTGGCTGCTTTTATAATTTCATTAGTTTAAGGACAATTTAGCAGAGAGGGTGATACTTCATGGACTAATTTGATGTTTGAATCGTTTAAATTTTTATCCGTTCTAAGACTAGTGCTACACGATTCAGATAACTCAACTGATTTGGTTAATTTGGCATATTCTATTTTGAATTGTTTGTGAAAATTGGAGTGCATAACCCCAAAGATTTAACTCTTGAAGCTGTTTAGCGGTCTTGTTCTGCCTTAAATGTTCTCACCGGACAACATTTAATTGGTGACAAAGATATAGGGTGAATTGTGGAAGAGAGTAAAAGAAATAATGGCTCTTTTCTAATTACTTTTAGATTAGATTTATAGAAAACTACATTCATGCTGGTATTACCTTTTATATTATCTTAAACTTGACAATTCCTCCTTTGTGTCACGTTAATCACTGTTAACCTCTCCCTGTTTCCTTTGCAGGCAAGAATTGTTCACCCCGATAAAAATCCTGGGGATCCTAAGGCCGCAGAAAATTTTCAGGTGAGCACTAAGAAGCTTAGTTTTGTTGGATTCATAAGACTAAGCTATATTTACTAGGTGTCAGTAACAAAGTTATTTACAGCCTTCTTAATTCTTACTGTTAGATGTTTTACAGTGTAAAATATAGGAGTATTTACACATTTGGGTCTCTCCCTCCATTCAGTTTGCTTTATTTTTCTCAATATACTTTTTTGAGTATGGTGTCCTCTATCTTTATCAGAAACTTGGTGAGGCTTACCAGGTTTTAAGCGATCCCGGGAAGCGTGAAGCGTATGATAACAATGGAAAGGAGGGACTACCACAGTAAGTTTGTATGATCTTTCACGACTGAAAAGTAATTAGCTAATAGTTGCATGTAGTGAATGTTCCATCAAATACTGAAGTTCTGTCTTTGCAATTCAAAGGTAATTCATTATTCACTGGACATGTTTTATACATATTGTTCCATCTAAGAATGAGAATATCTCAGTCAGTCTCATGTCCGAGATATTGTCCACTTTGGAGTTTTAAACAATCGTTGGTCTTGAGTCCTAAGCGATGTAGGACTCATAAGCCCCCCAGTCAAGGACTAAGGGGTATGAGTGGTGCGAGATTCTACTCTCGGTTCCATAGGCGCCAATGTTCTGTTTAGAAACAAGAGTGTCCCGACTTCATGTCCACTATGATAGCATCGTTAAGGTTAATTTCAATATCTGAGGTATGTTCGTTTTGAAGCTCTAGTCCATCACGGTTTTTTTTCTTTAAAAGATATCTTGATGGGTTAAGAGAGGAGGGTGTACAAAAACTATCTTTGGTGTCGACTTCTAAGTGATATGCGACCTATGAGCATACCGAAACACATATATTACTGAATCTGATCAAATATTAATGTAATTCGTGGTTCAGAAAATGACTTTTTAGATTTACTGTAAAATGAAGTAAAAGAAATAATTATTGAAAAAGTTATAGACACAATGGGCACTTTGAGGGACTTGCTTCCTCACTGCTGAAAACTGCATCAATCTTTTTGTGCCCTTTTATCTCCCCTCCTTCACACTTATACTCAACTTATCAGATTTTATTCTCCAACTAAGATTCAAAAGTTCTTCGGAAGAACTAATAATTTTTCTCACAAAACCTAAGCTTCAAAATCTCAATCTTCTGAATTATGAGAAAAAGAGGACACAGAGTATTTATATACTATGATTCTAAGACTTAAAGGCTCATTCCTAATTAGGCTCATCCAATAAATCTTTTAATTTCTGATAGAAACCAATGTCTCTAATTCCTCAGGACTGAAATGTACCATAAATTCCGGATAGATTCTATAAAAGGAAAAAAAGAAACATTCCTAGCCAATTTACAAGAATACTAAGCAGTATAAATAAAGTCCTGAAATTTATATATATATATATATATATATAACATAATAACTCCCAAAAATTAGCATCAATCTATCAACCAAATTAATGTTTGTTTATTAATGAGGAATCAGTTAAAATCATTATTTTTCGATGTTTCAAATGAATCTAACGTAACAGAATGTTTTCATGGATAGAGGAAACCTGCAAAATACATTGATTCTGTTTTTTCTTTAAGAGAATCCATGATGGACCCTTCAGCTGTGTTTGGTATGCTTTTCGGAAGTGAAGTTTTTGAAGAATACATTGGAAAACTTGCACTCGCTTCTTTAGCATCTATAGAGATTGATGAAGATATACAGGATCCTGAAGTTCAGAGGCAAAAAATTCAAGAAAAGATGAAAGTATTCTGTTTTTTCTAGTTCTTTATGATGGTTTTCCTAAATCTTTTATACTATTCCCCCTCATATTTTAGTAGCTGAAGCTGCTTCCTTGTTTGTAACCATAGGCATGGCAGAAGGAAAGGGAGGAGAAGCTTTCAGCAATTCTGAAAGACCGCCTGCAACTATCTGTTATTGGTCAAGACGAAGAATTTACTGCTTGGGCAAAGTCAGAAGCTCGTAACCTTTCTAAAGCTGGTAAATTCCCTCTGTTTGTCATGTAATTTTAATAATGTGTTATTTAACAATAGTCCAGAACTTAGAAGTTTTAAGCTGAAACATTATCATTTTCAAGAGTGTCAATTTGTTGTCTATGCCACATGCATTCTAGACTTGGCCTTCTATTGAGACCTTTTTTAGAACTATTTGACAGAAATTTGTTTAGAGGTGAAAATATTATGTTTTTTCAGTTTTGAAATTTAATGGGGATTATTCAAAGAAATTAAAACACATTCATTCTGGTGTAGTTTAGATTCTTCGAGAATGCTTCAACATGCTATATAAATTCCATTATTTCTTAGTGAAGGAAGATGCCAAAGTAATGTCTAATTTGTAAGCCATTCATGCTAGCAAATTAATTTTGTTGTAGTCCCGGATTTCTGTTGTTGGATTAGGATAAATTGCTTATTTAGTCCCATTATTTTTAAATTATTTTCAATTTGTTTCACTATTATTTATATTATCAATTTGGTCCCACTTTTTTTTTTTTAAATGAGTTAATATTATCCCTTCTATCAACGCTGCAAGTTGTTTAATAGAAAGTGTAATGTGATGTTAACATGATCATGGTGATAACGTGTCTGACCCATATATACAAAAAGGCCATACTATTGATGATATGCCAGACAATTTGGTTGGCATAGATGTGATATACACATCGGTGCCACATCAACATACATCAATGTTACATTAGCAAGCGTCTCTGCATTAGCGTCACATTGCACTCTTCCATTAGACAATTTAACAGCATTGACAAAAGGCTTAACATTGACTCAGTTTAAAAAAAAAGTGAGACAAATTTACACTAAAACAAAATAACAGTGGAACGAAATTAAAAAAAAAAAAAAAAAAAAAAAAAAAAAGTAAAGAAATAATGGAGCAAAAAAAATATTATTTAGCTGTTGAATTATTAGGACTCTTACTATGGTAGAATGCTATTAAGTTGTACTTAGCTTTTACTAGTTGTTGTGCCACATTTCTGCTTGAGCTTAAGTACAATATCAGATGTTTGAATGATGTATCTATTCCAAGCTTATACCATGGAAGGAGGTCGTATGCTTGTTAGCCAGAAAAGATATATATCTAGGCCTCATTCTACGGAATCTTAAATGGAGTGTGAAATCCCATTTGGGCAAGATGCTTATGTACTCTTCGAGTACTAGACTCAATCCACTCAAAACCTCAATTTGTGGACAGCGTAACCTTGCATGTCATTGGATTAACTTTGAAATTATTATAAAATTTAGATTGAATCATAAGCATTGGAGTGTTAGTCTTAGGAGTACCTTATTACAGTTTCTCTTTCCAGACATGTGTTGTTATGATTCCATATTCTCCATGAAACAGGATTTAACTTCCACTTACCATCATTATAAATTGTTCAGCCTCGTACCTTGTAAAATGCAAGAGTAGAAGAGGAGTTTGGTCTGCAATAACTCTGCTGAAACGTTTTCCTTATGACACTTGAAAACTCAACATGAGAGCATCCAATTATGTGCATTGTAAAGCCTCTGCCATGTATTTCAAACACATGAATTTCATCATATGTTGTTTCATGTTATCAGTTTTAATCAAACGGCAACCTTTAGGGAAAATGATGAAAATGCCAGCATTCTGCACATAAAAGGATGGCAAGGCTATTGTGAAATTCATGTAGGAACAGTATGATTGACCACTCCTGGTTCTTTTCTTCCCTTGCAATTTTCTTAATTCGTTTCGGACATTTTTCTTAGCTTTTGGAGAGGCCATGCTACATACAATTGGTTACATCTACACACGAAAAGCTGCAAGAGAACTTGGAAAGGATATGCGGTATATGAATGTTCCCTTTTTGGCCGAATGGGTCCGAGACAAAGGACACCGTATTAAGTCACAAGTAACAGCAGCCTCAGGTTGTGGACTATTTGTTTTTATATCTGGGTAGGGATAAAATACCCTTTTAGTCCCTCATCTCTCATTTTTTAGTTTTAGTTTAGTCTCCTAAATTATGTTTTTAGCTCCTTAAATTTTTTTTTTGGTTAAATTGGTCCTTCATCAATTATTCAAACTTACATATTAACTTTGGCTGATGTGGCAAACACTCATTTCATGTGACATCTTTTATAGTTTGTCAACTGTTTCCCAGATGACCAAATTAGTTGATAAATTGATGTAAGGACTAAATTTGGATCTTTTTAAACTTAGAGAACAAAACCTAAAATAAAAAATAAGATGGGACTAAAAGGGTTTTGGATTTGGGCAGTTCTAGTCTATCAGTTGAAAGGATATGGGCATTTCTCAATTTTTGAAGGTTTTAATGGAACTCCAATGTTTCTGTAGGAGCTGTGTCCCTAATTCAAATACAAGAAGAGCTCAAGAAGCTAAACCAAGGAGAAAACAAGGAAGAAAACATAATCAAAGCTATTGAAGATAAGAAGGATGCCATGGTTCATTCTCTATGGCAGATCAATGTGATTGATATTGAATCAACTCTGTCACATGTTTGCCAAGCAGTAAGTTGCAGTATATGCTTTATGTAGTTTGAAAATAATAGCCTTGGCTTATAACTCAGAAATAAGTCTTTCCCCCTGCTTGCCAGCTGAGCATGACATGGCATTTTGTTAATGTGCAGTGTTTGGCCTACTTGGAAGAAATTTCACCTTCTCGCCTTTTGTTAATGTTATTTATTCATTTATTTTAATCTTCAATTCAAGAAAAAAACGGGTCACCGTGCTAATATCTTCTAGTTTCCATTGTAGATTTTGCCCCTCTATTATGCTCCATATGCAATTCTTATCCCCTAATTTTTTAATTGTAACAATCAAATCCTTTTTCTTTTTTTAATTGCTACAATCAAAATCTTATGGTACGATTACTCTACCTAAAACTCTTGAACATTCTTTTCTTACCCCCTTAAAATCTCCATAAACTAAACCCACATTAAACTATTTTAAATCCCCTTCTGCTCATATTCACCAATCTAAACATTATATTTCATCTAAAATTAAAAATTATAATTATTTAAAATGTTACCTCACATCCTATGAATTCTTCCAAATTTCATCACAGATGCAGCTTCTAAACCTTTCAAATCATTTTCTATCTCAAATTCATCTCCAACATCTAATCATTATGAGAGTTTAATGTCAAGAATGAGTAATGGAGGCATATGATTGTAAAAATTAGAAAATTGAGTAACTAAATTTTAGTAAAACATTATTGAGGGACAAAAATTGCACATTAATAAAGGCTCAAAAGTATAAATAAACCTAGCTTTACCCTTGAAAGCTATTGGTGGACCATAAGCTCTCCAAACGTATTCACTAGCATATTGAACTGAAATGCGTGCAATAAATGTTGAATAAGTATATCATATGTATTGATGACCAATTTTAAGTTAATTGTTATTCTCTCAGGTTCTTAAAGATCCTAGTGTCTCCAAAGATGTTCTGAGATCTCGGGCCAAAGCATTGAAAAAGTTAGGAACTATCTTTCAAGTAAGTGTGTGATTTCTGATGTCAGTGCATCACCAACTAATTTGACTGTGAAGAATTCTGTCATATGTATGAGTTCACGTTAGCATGGAATTACAAGGATTTCAATAACCAGCTATTACATTTTGTTTGGTCCCTCAAAATATCTTGGAATTTAGTTATAGTCTTTTTAAAAATTTAATACGTTTAATGAGGACCCAAAATGATGGAGAAATTAATGAGGATGTCACATACAGGAAACAAGCGGGATGATTTAGATGCAGAAATGGGAAAGGCATCAGGGGTTATTTGTGATTGCAAGGTACCTATCAAACTCAGACAAGTTTCATCATTATTATACCTTCAGCTGTACTCAGAAATGAGAATGTTAAGATGGATGTATGGTCATATAAGAGAGCGCAGAATATGGAATTACTATCCGAGAAAGGATTGGTGTGGCATCCTTGTGGAATAGATCACAGAAAACTGGTTAAGGTGGTTTGAACATGTACAAAGAAGACCAAAAGAGGACCTGTTAGAAGGGTAGATTTGCATGACTTTTAGTTCTATGAAAAATGAGAAGGATACCAAAAAAGACGTTGGAGGAAATCATCAAGGGAGAGAGATCTCAGGCTAGATAATATTCTTGAAACTTTGGTTTTTAATCATCTAAGTGGGATAAAGCTTTGTTGTTGTGATGAGGAGCTAGAACCGCATCAGTTTTGGTAAATGTAGGATCTAAAATCGTATTAAAAATTTATAGAAACCAAAACCCAATTTCAAGATATTTTAAGGGACCAAAACATGTTTTACCATTTTGTTTAACTGTAATTAAGAATGTTTCATTTTGCTTCTCAGGGTGCTAAGTCTTCTTATAGCAGAGAAGACAGTCTACGTCAAGAAAGAGGCAAAGCAGTAGATGTTGGTTCCTCATCATAGTCATCTTGTTCAGTTTGTTTGATATGGTCATGTATTGAGTTGTCTTCTACTATTCTTATGACCTTCTGGCTCAGTGGATTTTGAGCATTGTTTCATGCAGTGCTCCATTGCTGTTGATAGAAATGGTATGAAATATGAATTGGACTTATGGATTGGACTAATCTGCCATAATTACACACTTGTATTTAATAATTATCATCTAGTCATAATTGATTTCAGTCCATTCTTATTTCTATATCTACACACTTCATTTGAGTAGGATTTCTTACACTAGGCTTAGATTTGAGTCTTTGAAAGAAGAGATGATACTAATATTTGGTGGAAATTAATTATTGGTAAAATCAATCAAATCTTTATATTAATAATATGATAACTCAGAATATTTAAACATTTGGGACAGTATGGATTAGTAGGTTGAATGACTTAATTATGTCTGGAAGAACTAATTTGTTTTGTTATTTCTATTTACTGTCACTTCCATTCATTTTTATTTGGATTTTAAATTTTTATGTAAAAATATAGTAATTTTTTCTATCTTAAAAAAATATTTACAAATTATCTATTTTATTAGTTCTTTTATTTACATGGTAAATATGTAAATTCATGCAATATAAAATAAAAGTAATAAAAATAATTAAAATAATAAATATTTTCTTAAACTCTAAACAGTAAATACGTTTGTTTCAAGATTCCTACCCTTAAAATGAAATGGATTTGGATGATTAAAGACAGTAGAAAATGCAAGGTGAAGTAGATCTGGATACACCATTCAAACATTTTTCTATTTTTATATATTATTAATTATATCATTAAGTTTTAAATTTTTATTTTAAAAAAATTATTAATTTTATAACATGATAAATATGTTAATATATGTGATTTTAGTTATAAAAACTTCGATTAAAAAACTATAATTAATTACATACGTATGTTTAACTTTATTATATATATATATATATATATATATATATATTTGAATTAATAAATAATACTTATACATATAAATAAATATTTTTCATCCATCCATAAATATAAACTAAAATTTTTATAATAATTAAAATTTTAATTCAAATAAATACAACTATTTATCATAATTTTTTTTAAATTAAAAAAAATACTGAACCAATCAATGTTAAACATATTCTATTGATCCAAAGTGCAAAATACTTTTTACGTGTCACCATTGAATTTCTGTGGATAACACGTTCACTGTTAAAAATGATGAACAACACCACACCAAGATATATATATTTTTTTAAAACAAACAAGTTGAGTCATGCTTGATGAATGATAATGGAAATCATTCCACTACAAGTTTACTGATCCATTGGATAAAATGATAACTCAAAACAAATTCAAATTTCCAATCGATTAGAGATTAGAGATGATGTATATAGCAGCAATTAAAATAATGTTGAGCTTGTCTAGGATTAGATTAGGTTTAAATGGTAGTCATTTTTTTCTTAAAATATTATCTATTATGGATAATATGACAAATTTATTTTAAATTTATTCAAATATTTTTATATTGTTTATTGAGAAAAAAATTAATTTTATATTGGTTAAAAATAATATTAAAATAGAATATATATATATATATATATATATATATATATAAAATTTATTTTACTTTCTGGTTTTAAGGATTGATTACGTAAAACCTAATCTTAATTTTAAGAGTAAGTGGTGTAATAAGATATATTTAGTGATGCCAAAGTGCACTTCTAACTATATCTAAAACACTTTTGTATGAGATCAATGTCGAAATTTAATTTGCTGTTAAATAGATGGTGTAGAATATGCACTTGATTAAGATTTGATTTATAACCCCACTCTTTTACTATTATTGTAAATGGATGGCTTATAATGATGATTAGTACTCAAATGACAAAGCAATCCACGTTTTTATATCCTAATTAAACCTGATTAATTAAACAAGCATGCATGCAAAAAGATATTTAGGCCAGTTTACTAAAAAAAGTATAACTAGGACAGCAAATAAAGTATGTGAGAGAAAGGGAAAAAGAAATTTTGATTTTAATGAAAATGAAAATTACAAAAAAAAGATAATTTGAGTGTGTTAATAGGATACAAAAATTATATTATCATCTAATTATAGATTCATGTATGATAATTAATCCATTATTAACTTTATATTAATTATTTAAAAATTTATATATATTTGGTAATGTGAAAATCTTGACATGGTACATAAAATTTAATTTCATTTTATAAATACTAAATTAGCAATCAATTAATCTTGATAAGTTCATGTAATTGACCAACAAATATGGCTCCTGAGTATCTAATTTTATTTTATTTTATTACTTATAAGGTTTTTGTCTATTATAAATTATAATTCTTGCTTTTATATAAGAGTATTGCAAAGAATTTTTTTTCTCATTAAATTACTTTATTTATTTTACATCAGGTAAGTAAAATTATTTTTTTATATAAAAAAAATTATTCATTTTAAACATTATTATTATTCAATTAATTAAAAAAATTTAATCGTGATGCCGTTTTAAATTAAACACGTCTTTTTAGATAAACTACATTCTTCTAAAAATGGTGGTCGATTCATAGGTGACTAATGACCTAATGGTTATGCAAGTGGTGGGATTTGTGAGGACAGTGTTCTTATTAAGGTCCACGTGTTTGGTCTTTAATCTTTACAAATTGTGAAAACATGTTTTTTTAATGGTGATTTGTATCTCTAATTAAATCCTTAACACCACTTGTACTTAAGATTACATCTTTTCATATATAAAATCATTCAGCTCATAAAAAGATGAACTATAGTTTAATTTTAACTTTTTAATTTTTTCACACTATTTTTACTCAAATGACGTGTTTTGATTTAAATACCGTATTTCTAAAAGTTTTTTTCTTATTTTAAAATTATTATCTCTTTAATTTTTCATACTTCATAAAATAAAATAGTCATTGTTAATGATAAAATAATATTTATTATTTCTTATAAATGTCTTAAATTTTTAAAAATACATATTTAATACGAGAGAAAATAAAAGTGTTTGATATGTTATTTGGTTCAATTATATACTGAAAAATAATTTGAATTAAATATAAAATTTAATGTGTTTTAATTTGATTTTATTTTTATTTTTGAAAAAATATAAATTAAACTAAACCAATATTTTTCGACTTAATTAAACAATTTTATAATTTATTTATAAAATTATTAAAAATATTATATTAAAATTATTATCTAAATAAAAAGTATATTACAAAAATATTATACATAATTAATAAAATATTTATAATTTCAATTTTTTCCACGTTAATTTAAATATTAATAATATGTATCATATACTAATTAACTTATTCAATATAATATTTTATGATGTAATTTTAATATTATGTATTATAATTTTGATTCGGTTTTGTTTGCGTTAATTTCTAATTGTTAAATCGAAAATCAGATTAAGTTTATTAATTTTAAAAATTTTCAATAAAAGAATCGGTTTTAATATATTTTTATTTTATTTTTTAATTAAAATTTCTATACATAATAAATAATCTCTTACATATAATTAAAAAAAAACGTTTTTGTTTATTAAAAATATCAAGAGCATAAGTTGAGGGTTAAACAATGTTACTTAATCGATAAAAAACAAAATTGCTTAACGAGTTTGAATCAATAAAAAATCACTTTTCACCATAAAATTAGCATGACAAAGTTAAGCACTTTGTTTTACAAATTATCATTGGGGCAAGGTGTGTAATTGATAAATTTATTGTGAGGATAATAAAAGACCCACATATTTAAGTTGAATTACTAATTTTATTAATTATATACATTTAATGTGGTAATTAAGTTGCTATAACTAGTTGATTTTGGCTAGGGTTGTTCCATGACACAGTTAGTTGTTGTCCAAGTTTATGTGATGTGTGGTGTTCCAATTAGTCATTCTGAGTTGACCAATTATTGATCTGTAAGAGAGGTGGAGAAGAATCTTGTGAGAAGATAATGCTTGACTTAATTAGGGGATGGCATGAACGTCCCAAAACCACTTTAAGAAAAGAGGTAGAAAAAGATAAGAGTTTTTAAAACACTGCACTGCTCATCTTTATTCTCCACCAATGTCCTTTCATTCTTCTCTGGTGCTTTGTCCTTGTCGTTTAGGATAATTGGAAGCACTAGAATTTAGAATACTATTTTATGCTAACCTAATATCACTTTTTTGTGCACACAAACCTTGGATTCATGTTCTTTTAGTCCCTAGTCACCACGCATGCTTTTCTAACTTTCCATTTCAACCCCTTTTGAAATTTTCGCATATTATAAAAAATGTGTCTTTACTGGATCAGATCAAATTCTTCATAATGCTCAATACTTCATTAATATTATGATTATGATAAAGGTTGTGACTTGATTAAGGTTGAATCACTAGGTCATCTTTATTGTTCTCAAATAGATGTGTTCTGGCAAAAGGGGTGCAAAAAATGTAGTCACAAACAAAAGTTTGGTAGGGTAGAAAAACTAATTGTTTGTAGGGGTATATAATAATTTCCACTGAGGTCTAATTTCAACTGTTATCCAAATAAATATATGTCACTCCACTAACTTCTTAGACTTAGTGCCCCAACAAAAGCAAAGTGATCTACTCACACCTTTTCTGTTTGAATATTTATATGCTAAAGAGTGCCAACACTTCTTTCAAAATTAAACTGTCAACCTCAGTTTTTTCTTCAAAAGGCTTCCACTGTGGGGGAATTTATTGTTCCTTGCAATATACATAGGAAACACCATATAACTTCAAACCTAGAAAATATCAAGTTGCACAAATGGGTGCTCTCATGCTTCTCAAGAACCTCACCCTCCTCTTTCTCCTCATTTCTGGATCATTTCTGTCAACATCTTTTGCAGGTGTGTCTTTTTAGGTCTTAGTTGTAATTTTTGGTATAAAATAAACTATGTTAAGAGAGAAATAATCATAATCTTATGCATGTTTAGACTTCTTCGTGAAATCATAATCACTTTTTTTTTAAAAACCATAAACAATTCAAATCAATATTGTGTTTGATCACTCATCACATGTTGCTAACATTTCATGACTGAATAAAAGATACTGAATGCATATATGAACACAAGTTGATACATATTGAACAAAAAAAACTTCACATTTTATATAGAAAAAGTATAGAAAAAACACTTCTAAACATGTCTGAAGCCTAATACCATCAATAATAATGATATCGTTGGGTTTTTAAATTATACAATGTGTGTCTGTCAGAGTATGGGGTTTTGATTTTCTTTTACTTTGTTTGCCTGTGAGACTAAGTGCATGACATGTGTTTAACTTAACACAACTTTATTATTTGAAATTTGGTTTTTCATTATTATATATTATTATGTATACTGTATTCACACATACACATCCATGTAATATGAAAACTATAAGGTCTTGAATTGTTTGATGACAGTAACAAAAAGTTTTACCTTGGTCTATGCAGCAAGACGATCCAAGACTATCAAGAACTTCACTAAAGATGTGAATGCAATTCAAGAGGTATGCATGCATAACCAAGATTTGATCTTAATCTATTTGCATACACTTTCATTAAGCATTTCTTCAATACGGTTTCCTCACATCAGTTTTCAAGAACAAAGTGTTACCTTTCTGATATTCTTCAAAACTATGGCTTCCTTTTAATTTCTGAAAAATATTGAATAGTTGGGTATCAACTTGAACATGGTGTTAGTTCTTTATGCATCTAACTACACGTATTCTATTCTCCCACTTCTCTCTCTTTGAAACCTTGTGATTTTACCTAACAAAATAGTGCAGAACTCATGAACTACCCATCTATTACCTTCCAACATTTGAAAGAGCTCATGAAACAGCATGTTTTTGTTAGTTTCTCTCTTCTGTTTCCTCTTATTATTCAATCCTTTGTTATTTTTCTTAGGTATATGTCCGTGTGTGGAGTATATTAGATAATCGAGAACATGATAATAACCGAGAGTAATTAATGTTCAGTATACAAACATGCACATATAGCCAGAAATAATAAACAGAACACATTAACAAAATAATATTTGTTTACCCATAGTAACAGATTTTCAAGACTTTCTCTATCACTGGTGATTCTGTAATTTCAATAATTTTATTCAATCTTGAAATATTTGGCAGAAAAGATGTGTTTTTAGAAAACAACAGAAAAGGGTTTAACCCTCCTCCTTCTGATATTATCATATAACTATAAATCATGCATAATGATGAACTTTAAACTCAACTCTCATTATTTGTGAACTGTTAGGGAACACCAAGGAAGCCACTGAACAAGGAAGAAGTAAGAAGCATCGAAGAGAGGCTTCTTAGGGCGAACACAAAAGACTATGGACGATATGATCCATCACCATCTCTTTCAAAGCCTCCTTTCAAGCTCATACCAAATTAACTTAACCTTCAATCAATATTATGTGAATCTTAGAACTGCTATTGGCATAAGTACCATAAATAATGTGATGTTATCTTAATCATGTAAGATATAGTATGTCATATAGAAAGAAAAATACGGTTGAAACCCTAGTAACTTAGTACCATAATATAACGTTTACATGTTACTACTTCAAGTTTTGTTGTATGAGTGGATATATATATATATATATATATATATATATATATATATATATATATATATATATATACTATAAATGTTGTCTTACGTAGGTATGATAGTGAATGTGTACTTCAATGAATAGAAGTAATAATTAATGAGATAACATAGGTATGATAGTGAATGTGTACTTCAATGAATAGAAGTAATAATTAATGAGATAACATATATACGTTGTATTTGATATATGTTCATAGATTCAAGTTATTTCACATTCACTATAGATAACTTTTTTTAAGATGGTTAAAAAAAACTATAACAAAGATTTTTGAATCGTTCTTTCAATCATAGTTAAAAATTAATAAATTAATAACGATTTTGAATCTCGATAAATTATTCATACGACATTGATTATATTTATAATCATTGTTGTATGTTAAAATTCTTCTTCTCCTTTGTTACAGCAAATGTAGAAGCTCCGCCACCACAAACAACAAATCTAGAAGTGCCACAACAAATAGATAAATAATACAAGGAATCTAGAAGTTTTGTCGTGATAACTCTGTTCTTTCATTGTTACTATTCCACAACAGAAGTTTTAATTACTCTCTTGTTATTCCGTCACAACAAAACTGTAAGTTTTCTTCATCTCTTCATTATTGTTCTTCTAACTTAATTTCAACACATCTAGTAGAACATTTTCTTCTATCTCCATCAGCATTTGTTCTCTACCTATGTCTCAATAAATCATTGTTTTTCACTATTATTTTTCCTTATGACAACTTTAGGTGTGTAGGAGATATATGGTGGAGACATTTATAATGTATGGTAGAAAGAAACAATTTGAGAAAGAAAGAAAGAGGAAGAAGAAAAAGAAGAAGAGAGTTTAATCATAATGAACAAAGGAAGAGAAAGTTACAACAAAGGAGGAGAAGAAAAAAAAATGAGAAAAGAAGAAAAGAAAAATAAAAACGCAAAGATGAAATGAATAAAATAGAAGAAATTAAATAAATAAATGTCGTCATATATGATAATTTTTCTATAATCATTATTATATGTGACATATAACGACAGTTGATAATTATAAATGAACTGTCATTAAAAAGTTAAAAATTATTACAACATCTTTTTTAACAATGATTCACCTATATCTACTGTTAAAGAATGTCATCTTTTGTCTATTTTGTATTAGAGAATTTTAGAGAAAATTACATGAATATATATATATTTTTTATAAGAGTTAAAATAAATTTGATGAAATTAAACCACGTTACTACGATTATAATATGCTTTAATTAGTAAGAGTTATCATGTGAATTAAACGAGGACTTCTACATATAAATGCAAAAAATATTAATTTTGCTTAAAACAAAAACTGAGCCTGGGTTAGTAGTTTACACAACGAGTTTAACAATCCCAAATGATTCCTAAACAAGTTATTTTGTATTTTTATTTTTTAATTGTTGAGAGAAAATTCAAGATATATACCCTAAATAGAAGTAATACATACATAGACCTATTCTACGCCTTTATTATTTTGTAGCAATTAAAACTTCGATCCATTGAAATGGAGTACCAAACATTTCATAAATTTAGAAATTTACCATGCAAATAGTATTATAAAAGCTTAGAAACACATGAACCAAATCCTATATCATCCCACTTGCATATCTAATATGAAGAAAGGAAGCATATAATAACAAGTAATGAGTGTGACACTTGCTTGGGGGTGACATGACATCATAGTCAACTACTCACTACAAGATGTTATGCATACCAATCATAGGCCTCCACAGACAACCAATTAATAATTCATGGACAACAAATTACCTCAAAGTCATATGATCATAAAATTCCATATCAATAAAATCGATTTTTAGATTTAAGTACATTTTTATTTTTAATATATTATTATGTATAGTCAATGCAAAATTTTATTACATTTCTTGATTTTATTTTTTTAATAATTTCAATATGATAATATAAGGTGAATATAAATCTCATCTTATAATAGAATTAAGTGTTATAATAGAATTAAGTGAAACCTTATACAAGTTAAGTTCATGATTTTCCTTTTTAAAACGATGCTAAAAAGTTAGGATAATTCATTTTAATTTGAATATATATGTTAAAGTAGGACTTATTTGGATTAATATTTTTTTTTCTTACCAAATTTAAAGGAGGTCAATATGATTCAATTTTCTCATTAATTATTATATATAAAGTTTTGCAATATAATTATATAATTTCTTATAACTCTCACACTACAAAAAAAGTCTATTACCTACTATTACCTACGATAAAAATCAGTAGGTAAATTTTACATTACCTACGAATATTACCCACGGATGAAAATTCGTAGGTAAATTATACATTACTTACGGATATTACCTACGGAATTATATCCATAGGTAAAGTATCGTACTGATATTATCCGTACGTAATGTACTGTGGATAATCTAGTAATTACTACGAATTACTATCGGTAAATTATATTAAACTAAAAGAATTGTCACTAGCAAGAATCGAACTCGATACCTTAAAGTTGAAAACTGATACTCCAACCACTAAACTATTAGGATATTCTAATAATAATTTACAACTAAATTATACTTATATTTATTCGTGTAAATATATAAATATATAAATACATAAATATATAAATACATAAATATATAAATACATAAATACATAAATATATAAATACATAAATACATAAATACATAAATACATAAATACATAAATACATAAATATATAAATATATAAATATATAAATACATAAATACATAAATACATAAATACATAAATACATAAATATATAAATACATAAATATATAAATATATAAATATATAAATATATAAATATATAAATATATAAATATATAAATATAAATATATAAATATATCAAAATATAAATATATTTTATATTTATATATTTTATATTTATATATATTTTATATTTTATATTTATATATTTTATATTTATATATTTTTTATATTTATATATTTTTTTTATATTTATATATTTACACGGATAAATATAAATATAATTTATTTGTAAATTATTATCAAAATATCCTAATAAACTTTAGTGGTTGGAGTATCGATCTCCAACTCGAGTGATCGGGTTCGAATCCTAGCTAATGACAATTTTCTTAATCCAATAATAATTCAAAGTTCGAAAATATAATAAATAATAAAAATATAATATAAAGAGGAGGGGGTCCTAGGTAATAATAAAAAATAAGGGAGGGGTTGTAATAAATAAAAATATTTTGTTTAGGTGAATGCATTACCTACGGATTTTCTACGGAAAGAAATTCGTAGGTAAAGTGACATTACCTACGAATTTACCCGTAGATAATAAGCATTTTTTTGTAGTGTCACTATTACTTAGTTTATGTAACTGAATTGCAACACTAGAATGTTGTTTATCAACGGGACTATGATGAGCTTTTGAATAAAATTATGTTTTATTTTTAAATAAAAAAATTTAATCAATCTAAATCAATAAAAAAATATTTTGGATTTTGTTTCTCCTAAATCTAATCCCGGCTAACTCGTGAACACTTCACATAAAGATGGTTGAAAAAAATTATAAGATTCATTGATAAAATAAAATGTTTAGTATTCCTTGTTTTCATTCTCAGAGAAAAAAAAAGTGCATTCCGCTAAATACATTTATATGAATAATTTATTTATATCCATATAATATAAATTACAACTTTTTTATTTTCTCTAAAGGATTTTTTTTAAGAAATTTGTAATTAACCATTCTACTCAAATGTTTTGGGCCAATGAAACGGGCTTCTCTTAAGTTATGGTTAATATGCAGCCCATAATCTTGGAAGATGGGCTCAAGTCATGGGCATTTTGGATTTTGGACTCCTCTGAATGTACCTAAAAGCACGAATACGTAGTTTTAAAATATTAGTGTTGTATGAAAGGTGGAGGATGAGAAATAAAACCTGTAATTCTCCTTCAAATTTGAAGGTCCTAGGATTTGAGAAAATGTTTTTCTTTATATTTTTATTTTCATTTATCTTTTATAGTTGTTTACATTTTTTTCTTCTTTCCCTTTAATTTTTAAATTCAAATTATTATAAATTTAAAGATTATTTAAATATGTTAATACGGGTTAACTCATCCCATTTTAATTCATTTATCTTTAATATAATAAAAAATAAGTGAGATAAATTAGTCATCCTAATCTAAATAATTATACATTTCAACCGTCTCATAAAAAAATATTAAATTCAACAATATATTTTTATATTAATTTTTTTAAAATATTATTTTAATTATATTAATATATTAAAATACCTAATCATAATAATAATTTAAGTTTAATTAATTAATATTTTTAATATAAATTATAATATTTTAATATATTTATATTTTTAATAATATAATGAAAAAAATATAATATTTGTAATCTGATTTTTTATTTTAATTTTAATATATAAATATTTAAAAAAATATCGATCAGTCAATCCCACCTATTTTCAGTCCCTTAAATTGGTAGCTAACGAAATGTATAAAAATTGATCGAGCAATTAAAATTATTAACTTATTCTACAATTTTTATTTCACAAATTTTAAGGTGGACTGACATGAAATCTAATCCAATATATGTCTCATTCTACTATTACCTCCATTAAAAAATATAACTCGGTTCTGCACTTGCACAATGTGGAAATTAGTTTACGAAGACAGTAAAGTGAGACAACACATGCACCTGAAACAAAAAATCTTCAGAGAAGAGACTCATTTCCTTCACGATCTTCATCCCATTCGAAATTCTGAAGCAGACATATGAAATACAAGAACCACAAATAT